TTCTTCGTACAGAGGAGAGAGAGGGAGAGAAGAGAGTGTTCCCTTCTTCGTACAGAGGGAGAGAGAGGGAGAGAAGAGAGTGTTCCCTTCTTCGTACAGAGGGAGAGAGAGGGAGAGAAGAGAGTGTTCCCTTCTTCGTACAGAGGGAGAGAGAGGGAGAGAAGAGAGTGTTCCCTTCTTCGTACAGAGGGAGAGAGAGGGAGAGAAGAGAGTGTTCCCTTCTTCGTACAGAGGAGAGAGAGGGAGAGAAGAGAGTGTTCCCTTCTTCGTACAGAGGAGAGAGAGGGAGAGAAGAGAGTGTTCCCTTCTTCGTACAGAGGAGAGAGAGGGAGAGAAGAGAGTGTTCCCTTCTTCGTACAGAGGGAGAGAGAGGGAGAGAAGAGAGTGTTCCCTTCTTCGTACAGAGGAGAGAGAGGGAGAGAAGAGAGTGTTCCCTTCTTCGTACAGAGGGAGAGAGAGGGAGAGAAGAGAGTGTTCCCTTCTTCGTTACAGAGGGAGAGAGAGGTGAGAGAAGAGAGTGTTCCCTTCTTCGTACAGAGGGAGAGAGAGGGAGAGAAGAGAGTGTTCACTTCTTCGATACAGAGGGAGGAGAGGAGAGGTGAGGATGAGAGAGAGTGTTCCCTTCTTTGTCCAGAAGGGAGAGAGAGGGAGAGAAGAGAGTGTTCCCTTCTTCGTACAGAGGAGCGCGGAGGAGGGAAGAGAAGAGAGTGTTCCCTTACTATCGTTACAGAGGGAGAGAGAGGGAGAGAAGAGAGTGTTCCCTTCTTCGTACAGAGGAGAGAGAGGGAGAGAAGAGAGTGTTCCCTTCTTCGTACAGAGGGAGGAGAGGGAGGGAGGAAGAGAGAGTTCCCTTCTTTCGTACAGAGGAGACGAGAGGGACGAGTAAGAGAGTGTTCCCTTCTAAGTTACAGAGGAGAGAGAGGGAGAGAAGAGAGTGTTCCCTTCTTCGATACAGAGGAGAGAGAGGGAGAGCTGAGAGTGTTCCCTTCTTCGTACAGAGGAGATAGAGGGAGAGAAGAGAGTGTTCCCTTCTTCGTACAGAGGAGAGAGAGAGGGAGAGAAGAGAGCTGTTCCCTTCTTCGTACAGAGGGGAGAGAGAGGGAGAGAAGAGAGTGTTCCCTTCTTCGTAACAGAGGAGAGAGAGGGAGAGAAGCGAGTGTTCCCTTCTTCGTACAGAGGGAGAGAGAGGGAGAGAAGAGAGTGTTCCCTTCTTCGTACAGAGGATGAGAGAGGGAGAGAAGAGAGTGTTCCCTTCTTCGTACAGAGGACGAGAGAGGGAGAGAAGAGAGTGTTCCCTTCTTCGTACAGAGGAGGAGAGAGGGAGAGAAGAGAGTGTTCCCTTCTTCGTACAGAGGGAGAGAGAGGGAGAGAAGAGAGTGTTCCCTTCTTCGTACAGAGGGAGAGAGAGGGAGAGAAGAGAGTGTTCCCTTCTTCGTACAGAGGGAGAGAGAGGGAGAGAAGAGAGTGTTCCCTTCTTCGTACAGAGGGAGAGAGAGGGAGAGAAGAGAGTGTTCCCTTCTTCGTACAGAGGGAGAGAGAGGGAGAGAAGAGAGTGTTCCCTTCTTCGTACAGAGGGAGAGAGAGGGAGAGAAGAGAGTGTTCCCTTCTTCGTACAGAGGAGAGAGAGGGAGAGAAGAGAGTGTTCCCTTCTTCGTACAGAGGGAGAGAGAGGGAGAGAAGAGAGTGTTCCCTTCTTCGTACAGAGGAGAGAGAGGGAGAGAAGAGAGTGTTCCCTTCTTCGTACAGAGGTAGAGAGAGGGAGAGAAGAGAGTGTTCCCTTCTTCGTACAGAGGAGAGAGAGGGAGAGAAGAGAGTGTTCCCTTCTTCGTACAGAGGAGAGAGAGGGAGAGAAGAGAGTGTTCCCTTCTTCGTACAGGGGAGAGAGAGGGAGAGAAGAGAGTGTTCCCTTCTTCGTACAGAGGAGAGAGAGGGAGAGAAGAGAGTGTTCCCTTCTTCGTACAGAGGGAGAGAGAGGGAGAGAAGAGAGTGTTCCCTTCTTCGTACAGAGGGAGAGAGAGGGAGAGAAGAGAGTGTTCCCTTCTTCGTACAGAGGAGAGAGAGGGAGAGAAGAGAGTGTTCCCTTCTTCGTACAGAGGGAGAGAGAGGGAGAGAAGAGAGTGTTCCCTTCTTCGTACAGAGGAGAGAGAGGGAGAGAAGAGAGTGTTCCCTTCTTCGTACAGAGGAGAGAGAGGGAGAGAAGAGAGTGTTCCCTTCTTCGTACAGAGGGAGAGAGAGGGAGAGAAGAGAGTGTTCCCTTCTTCGTACAGAGGAGAGAGAGGGAGAGAAGAGAGTGTTCCCTTCTTCGTACAGAGGGAGAGAGAGGGAGAGAAGAGAGTGTTCCCTTCTTCGTACAGAGGGAGAGAGAGGGAGAGAAGAGAGTGTTCCCTTCTTCGTACAGAGGGAGAGAGAGGGAGAGAAGAGAGTGTTCCCTTCTTCGTACAGAGGAGGAGAGAGAGGGAGAGAAGAGAGTGTTCCCTTCTTCGTACAGAGGAGAGAGAGGGAGAGAAGAGAGTGTTCCCTTCTTCGTACAGAGGAGAGAGAGGGAGAGAAGAGAGTGTTCCCTTCTTCGTACAGAGGGAGAGAGAGGGAGAGAAGAGAGTGTTCCCTTCTTCGTACAGAGGGAGAGAGAGGGAGAGAAGAGAGTGTTCCCTTCTTCGTACAGAGGAGAGAGAGGGAGAGAAGAGAGTGTTCCCTTCTTCGTACAGAGGGAGAGAGAGGGAGAGAAGAGAGTGTTCCCTTCTTCGTACAGAGGGAGAGAGAGGGAGAGAAGAGAGTGTTCCCTTCTTCGTACAGAGGAGAGAGAGGGAGAGAAGAGAGTGTTCCCTTCTTCGTACAGAGGAGAGAGAGGGAGAGAAGAGAGTGTTCCCTTCTTCGTACAGAGGGAGAGAGAGGGAGAGAAGAGAGTGTTCCCTTCTTCGTACAGAGGAGAGAGAGGGAGAGAAGAGAGTGTTCCCTTCTTCGTACAGAGGGAGAGAGAGGGAGAGAAGAGAGTGTTCCCTTCTTCGTACAGAGGAGAGAGAGGGAGAGAAGAGAGTGTTCCCTTCTTCGTACAGAGGAGAGAGAGGGAGAGAAGAGAGTGTTCCCTTCTTCGTACAGAGGAGAGAGAGGGAGAGAAGAGAGTGTTCCCTTCTTCGTACAGAGAGAGAGAGGGAGAGAAGAGAGTGTTCCCTTCTTCGTACAGAGGGAGAGAGAGGGAGAGAAGAGAGTGTTCCCTTCTTCGTACAGAGGAGAGAGAGGGAGAGAAGAGAGTGTTCCCTTCTTCGTACAGAGGGAGAGAGAGGGAGAGAAGAGAGTGTTCCCTTCTTCGTACAGAGGAGAGAGAGGGAGAGAAGAGAGTGTTCCCTTCTTCGTACAGAGGAGAGAGAGGGAGAGAAGAGAGTGTTCCCTTCTTCGTACAGAGGAGAGAGAGGGAGAGAAGAGAGTGTTCCCTTCTTCGTACAGAGGAGAGAGAGGGAGAGAAGAGAGTGTTCCCTTCTTC